TAAGAAATGATTTTCATCTTCAATTTTCTTACTTGTAAAAAAGTGACATATCCTTTCATTGCAAGGGAGTCTTCTTGGTTGGCTTACGGCATTCCCTAGCTATTCGCGTGGGTAAAAGACCAAATTTAGCTCTATTTCAATTCTTTTTATGATGTATGCTCTTCTTCGATTTTATGAAACGAATCTGGTATTTTCAAGTTTCATCTGTGACAAGAAACACGGCATTTATATCCTACAGAAAGAAATTAGAAAAGGATGACAATGAATTAAGAATTTTTAAAAGCATGGATCTTTCACTTTTGATTTTGGGCTGCTCTACGCCTTAAAGTTAATTCTCGGAAAGAAAACGAGATAGTGGGGTAGGTTGTTTTGAGTCAGATATTCTAAATTAAGAATCAATTGAATAAAGTTAAGAATCATCTTAAACATTTTGGGATTTAGAAAATCAGAGTAACTTACAGCCCCATACAGAGACCTTGCAGATCTCTAACTTAAAATATGTGTGTCGTAAATTTAAAATAAAAATCAGATTTGTTTCATCTATTAAGTTATTTGTCTTCTAATAATTATTTACAGTTTTAGTTACTCGTTTTAAAATTTTTAACTTTCAAACAGCTCCACGCAAACATTTTCGTATGTCTTTTATTTGTTTGAAGTGAGTGCCACTTTCACTCCGCGATCCGCCCTCCTTCCCGCTAAAATCTTGTAACGAGTTGTAAAGAGTTGAAAAATCAGCCTTGTTCTCGGTCGTCCTCGGCGATGTCAGGTGTGACGTCACCTGTCAAGCTTGTTGGGAGAATTTGCGCTCGGTTCCAAGTCTCCTCCGCTCAATCAGACAGCTTAGGGACGAGGCTGTTCAAAACTGTTCTCATTCGCCGTGTTTAGACTTGAACGGTTTACCGAGGTACGAGAGAACGATTGGATCAATCTTCGTACGGCGAACAATCCGTCAAGTAAAAGAAGGCATTGCATTTTTCATTTTCAATATTATTTACAACTTTCTCTAGACAAACTTCGATCCTTCGTTGTGTAATATTGGTTGTGGTATTTTCCCACCAGGGAGTATGCTGCATATTCACAATATCCACGTTTCTTCACATACAACCACGCGTACTCTGCGTATGATCAACCACCGAATTTTCCCCGCAATATTATGGAATGAGGTCAGCGCCTATGCATATGATGGCACCTTAATTTGCTCCTGTTAATTCACTGCAGTCGGATCCTCCGGCAAGTTCCACTAGTGAAGATTTATCAAGCGCTGCGCAGAAGAAGAAAACCAGTCGATGGACTGAAACTCAAGAAAAAATCGTCATGGAGTTGTTCGGTGAGAACGAAGAGAAGCTTCTCTATATTAAAAGCATATAATTCGCCAGAATGGGAATCTATTGAAAAAGAAACTGCACGAGAGATGTAGGCGTGTTGACAGATCAACTTGAGTTATTTAAGCTAGTGTAAACACTGGACGAATGTACCAAGGTTAAGTAACTGGACCTTAGTAAATTTTTACCTTGGTAAAAGCTCAAATCTAAACACGACATTAATGCAGCTGGCATGTTCCAACTTTGTAAACGGTTGAATTAAAAACGAATATTTTATTCTTGATTGAAATAGAACAAGTTGATCAATGCTGTCAGGCTTTAGTTACCAAGGTAATAGGTTACAAATGGAGGTGGCTTAGCTTGGCAGATCTCTTGGCGTCGAAGAGACAGTCATTGAGAACATTCAGACGGAGAACGAGAAACAGGAAGAGTGTGCCTTTCAAGTCCTGTGAAAATGGCCTGTCTCAAAAGGATCCAAAGCTACCGTTCATTTGCTGAGGAAAATGGCAACGTTGGAGCCATGGAAGCCTTTGATCGTCACTTGGGTGAACTTCATGGCGAAGAAACAACTCAAGATAACTAAAAGAGATACTTCCTGAGAGGCCGATTGAATGGCGAATTTAACCCCCGGCTATTTTTAAAAGACTACCTATTTTTAACGAGCTATTATTATTTTTAAAAAGNACTTCCTGAGAGGCCGATTGAATGGCGAATTTAACCCCCGGCTATTTTTAAAAGACTACCTATTTTTAACGAGCTATTATTATTTTTAAAAAGCAATTTCTAAAAAACTATCTGCACCCTCTTTCTTGATGGTATCAAAACAGACAGTTGATTACTGCGGAGAGATCCTTTGTCTTCCACCCCAAGAATCAAACCATAATTTAATGTTATTTCCGTTTTCAAAAATTATAGAATGTAATGGGGGCTGTGGATATGTACCATATGCAGATCGCGGAGGATGTCATTTTAGTTTCGGGGGATAACGGCCTCCGAGATCAGCATAATTCTTCATATAATGCTAGAGGCTAGAGTCAAATTCAATAATTGTATCATTCATTCAAAATATAAGTAAGTTCTTAACATCCTCACTTCCTCAAGGATTTCCTTTCTCGGAACAGTTTCAGAATACGAATGGATGACTAGAATCTATAGCTATAATATTAAACTACAACCTAAAATTAATAATTTAAAGTAAGCCTCAGTATAGCAATAAATCCAATTGACTGAAAGAGCCATAAAGCGTTGCATTTATTTTCAACTAACTGTTTATATTGCACATTTCATGTAACAATTTTCCTTTGAATTCTTTTATATTACCAGGAGTGAACGTTAATTTTTGTTCTTATTTTTGACAACCCGCCTCGATTAGCTATGCTCACTGCGGTTTTGTCAAATGGATGTTTGCAACCCAGTCAGTCTTGATCTTTTTCAAGGTCAATTAATTCTTTTGACCTTGAAGACTTTCTTTTGCCAAAACGAGACCACAGCATTGTGTGTCTTGTGTGATATTGTGTGAGTTTGTAGAATATGAATCAACTGAATTAACTTGAGTTGGTTTTTCAAGAATTTGTTAGATGTTATCGTAAACTAAGTAACTGCAAGCTCAGAAATGTGGATCGCTGCTCCCAGACAGTTATGTCCGATTTATAACGTCATATGACATGTGAAAAGGGATAGGAATTTACTAATTGTAACTTCCGCAGCCCTCTAACTAAAGTATATACCCTGATAAGTAACAAGATCCATTTCGGCCCTAAAATGCCAATTTAGCCATGCAGACCAAACTCTGATTCAGCCTCTCTTGGCCATTTAAGCACAATTTAAGCCAAAACAGCCCCAGCAAAACTTTATTCCAGCCCACGCTGGGTATCATTTCAGCCTTTGGGTACGAATGAGAACTAGTTAATTGGACTGTATTGGCCCTGGGTAAGGCAAAAAGAGGACCGTATTTTACTCACCGAAATGACCCCTTTTTCCACTAGGGCTAAAACATCTTTCTGATTTACTCTGTAAATTTAAATTAAATTTAAATTGAAAATTCATTTTACCGTATTACTATTTTTAGTGTGAATTAATAATGATTTGGAGAAACATAAACATGTAAAAAGTAACGGCAACGTCATCAGGCCATTGTCAAAGAATGGAAATAAATGCATGCGAATGGTTCAATTTTTTCTCCAACTCAATTTTTCATTTATGCAAATCTAGAGTACTTTAACTCTTTTTGAACTTTCGGTTATTTCCATTCCTCATGATGTCGCCGAAACGTTGGAACATTGTTTCGTTATTAGTTTTAACATGTTTATGCTATTTTATCATGCGTCCAAAAAAAAAGGAAACTAAGAATTTTTTTTTTCTGTTTGGACACTCGATTTAAAATCTTACTTAAATCAGTGGAGCCTACACTGGTATCTGGCAAATTCTATGGTGAACCCTCTCGTGTTTGAATTGAAAGTTATGATTACTTGGACAGGTCCACCAAAAAATCACCAACTTACAGCAATGTTCAACAACAACAAGAACAAATTTTATTGAAAATTAAGTTCTAACCACTAACATCACTTTCCCACCCTCAAATAGCTTATGAACTAATGGAGGTGTGGGGGGGGGAGGAGCTAAGGACATATTTACAAATACAAGGTTTATCTATTGGTGGACTAAATAAATAAAATTTATCTTTGATTCGCTTGAGATGGTTGACGTTTCCACTCCATTCTCCTTTCCAGTTAATGTTGTAACAAATTGGGAACTATTTGTTATCAACCTTTTCCACGTTTTACAATTGGGCTGCCTGTGCTGGCACCCAATCTAAACTGAGTGGCGTCCGGCGTCTGAAAAATGACGGGCGGATCACCTTTCCCGTCCCCTCTACCATGGAGCAACGTTTTTAGTTGTTGAGGGGAGGGTGGGTCATTAATAGAGAGATTAAGATTCACGTTTATTACAAACGGCAAACGTCAGATCCAAGTTGAGAATTTCTCAGAATAGAAAATAAGCAGATAAAAACAGCTCCAAACGATTCCTATCGTTAAAACTGACATAAAACTACTTATTTTTGTGTAGAAGCAGTAAAGAGTAAACGGAAAATAAGGAGGAAACTGGGTCACGTGGTAGAAATTCATGTCTGCCGTTTGGCGTAAACGTGAATCTTAATCTCTCTAATAACAAAAATCTTGCGGACAGACTTAAGATGAAAATGCGAAATTGTTTTATAAACAAGATAAATGTCACTAATGTTCTATGTCATTACTTTGTCAATAAGGTGAGCCGTGGTATAAATAGACATGATGTATGAACTCAATTAGCGACATTTTTTTGTTTTGTTTTGTTTTTTCTATATTTTTNAAATTGTTTTATAAACAAGATAAATGTCACTAATGTTCTATGTCATTACTTTGTCAATAAGGTGAGCCGTGGTATAAATAGACATGATGTATGAACTCAATTAGCGACATTTTTTTGTTTTGTTTTGTTTTTTCTATATTTTTTTGTCACTCTGCTCTGCTGTAAGGATCAGTGTGGTGCTTTAATATTACAAGAATCTAACTCTTGACCTCTCTAAAGACGTCACGGTGTCACATTTTTGTCATGTACAAAAATGCTGACAAATTTTTCCGGGCTGCATTGGGTTTTCGCCTTCGCTATGCATGAGGTTTCTATATCTGAAAAAAAAATATGCCTTTTGCCTGTAAAAATTCGCTCTGTTCTTCAAGAGCATTCAACAATTGCTCAAGGTGTCATCGAACGTTCTTCGACAAAGTAAGTCTGATGCAGTGTTCACAACAAAAACGGGATACATGCGGGCGCTGCGAAAGATCATCTACCGAATTCAAACCTAACTGGTACTTTAATTCCGCCCAAAATAATCCGAAAGATCTTCATCACGCTGCTTGTACAGGCAATTTTCAACTCGTGGCTGAATTTATGCGAACTGAGTTTTCAGACCAACCAGGGAAATCTCACCTTTCCCGTTCAAAATTACAATACGGGTACACGCCGATCCACTGCGCGACTTTCGGCGGACACTACGATTGTCTTAAGCTTATGCTCAGCCATCCAGATGGAAAACCAAATATTATTGATCCCGAAGACGGAAGAACACCGGTTCACCTAGCTTGCTGGAAGGGACACGCAGATTGTCTCAAGCTGCTTCTCAGTAAAGGAGGTAACTTATATCTTCGTGACCACAATAGGGATACACCGATATCATTAGCACGGGATTACGCCTGTTTGTCGATAATTCTTCTCCATCTTGCTGGTAAGTGAATTTGAGACACGGTGTTGTGTTATTGAAAGTTGTGGCTATATTGATTGAACATGTGTTAGTTTAATAATGTTAGCTAGCGATGTGTGCAGCGCAGTGAGCAAGAGATAAAGCTTTCTCTTTATCCATGAAACTATGATCACCCGATGCAAGGTATTGCCCGGGGGGGGGGGAAGTATTTTCCCTATGATGGCCTATACGGGTATCTTTTTCAGGCTTCAAGTATATATGAAAGGGTAGGGAGTTAACTAGTTAAAGCAAAAATTTGTCTTTGGAATCCGGTGGCGTTGGAATCCTAAATTCAGCTCTAGGAATCCAGAATCCCGCTTACAATTAGAATAATGATGCAACAAAAAATGCACGTTATGGTTCAATGATTATGCTAGGAAATCTTAAAAAGCTCTGTTTACATTGCAAGCCAGTCTCAAAGCAAGCTACATGACACAAATGACACCTTGCATTATCGAAAAAATTATAATCATTTGCATTTAAATGACAAAAATATACCATGCAGTTAGTGAGCTGTGCCATCATTAAATTCCTGCTCTACAGTACGGACTGCACGCTCTACGGACAATAAATCCGAAATCCACAGAGTGCAATTCAGAATCCAAGGCTGTCTTGGATTACCTTACATAGGGCGAGAAGGAAGTTTTTTCAAACAGCTAAAGTAAACCATAATTCCCACCATTTCCGTTTCAGAGGAAGCCGAGTCAAACTTCCGTTAGTGCAAAGATGCTAAAAATTCACTTATAATGTTTTTAAATGATTACTGAAAGATCCGTAAGTTACTCAGTGGGGTGATGTTGATTCAACCAATCGAATTTGGGTATTAAGGCTGTGATTGACATGTTCTAAAGACTGATCAATCAGACCTGGCAGACGTTTCTTTCCCTCCCTCCTCGCGCGCCCCTCGCGTTTCACTCGTGCCTAAATTCCCTTTTCCTTCCCTTTCAAACGCCTGCCACGCAGGCTAACTTTTACTAAGTTTGTCTACCATGAATTTCAAAAACTCCCGATGTTATGTTCTAGAGATTAGTACATGTGTTTTGCAAAAATTTTCTTTAAACACTTTAATCAAGATGTTTAAAAATTCATACTTTCCCTACCTCTGCGTAGAATTTCTTCAAAAAATCATCTCAGGATGATTTAAATGAATTGTACTGTCTTTTTCCTCTCTGTTACTCTTCAATCTTGTGCAATAATTTTTCTTATTTTATTTTTAAAAATAACAATAAATACGCACCATTTAATTACTTCCTTAATTTGCTAATGCGCGTTTTAAAAACTCCTAATTAATTAATTCATTCATTTCCAGGTATTGTACATGTTGTATTTTTAATATTATTGTTTCACCTATCTGAAACTCAAGTGTTTAATTTAACAGATTATCTCGCCGCAAGTGAGGAGGCATCACAGAAACCTGTTCTCAAGGCCATAGAACTCGTGTGGATCAGACTCCGCAGTGAGTATGGTGTAATTCCAGATCTAGAATCATGTGATTTTGAAGAGATCGATAAAGCACCTCTTGTCTGTTACGCTGAGATTCCAGGTAATTAATTATCTCTTCCTGTAAATGAGATATTAACCAAAATAATTAACAACTATTCCTCGAGCCCGAATGGGCTCTGAGCAAGAGAGGATAAAAACTTCCTGAGAGGCCGATTGAATGGCGAATTTAACCCCCGGCTATTTTTAAAAGACTACCTATTTTTAACGAGCTATTATTATTTTTAAAAAGCAATTTCTAAAAAACTATCTGCACCCTCTTTCTTGATGTTATCAAAACAGACAGTTGATTACTGCGGAGAGATCCTTTGTCTTCCACCCCAAGAATCAAACCATAATATAATATTATTTCAGTTTTCAAAAATTACGGAATGTAATGGGGGCTGTGGATATATACCATATGCAGATCGCGGAGGATGTCATTTTAGTTTCGGGGGATAACGGCCTCCGAGATCAGCATAATTCTTCATATAATGCTAGAGGCTAGAGTCAAATTCAATAATTGTACCATTCATTCAAAGTATAACTAAGTTCTTAACATCCTCACTTCCTCAAGGATTTCCTTTCTCGGAACAGTTTCAGAATACGAATGGATGACTAGAATCTATAGCTAATATTAAACTACAATCTAAAATTAATAATATAAAGTAAGCCTATAGCAATAAATCCAATTGACTGAAAGAGCCATAAAGCGTTGCATTTATTTCCAACTAACTGTTTATATTGCACATTCCATGTAACAATTTTCCTTTGAATTCTTTCATATTACTAGGAGTGAAAGTTATTTTTTGTTCTTATTTTTGACAACCCGCCTAGATTAGCTATGCTCACTGCGGTTTTTTCAAATGAATGTTTGTAACCCAGTCAGTCTTGATCTTTTTCAAGGTCGATTAATTCTCTTGACCTTGAAGACTTTCTTTTGCCAAAACGAGACCACAGCATTGTTTGTCTTGTGTGATATTGCGTGAAGTTGTAGAATAAGAATCAACTGAATTAACTTGAGTTGATTTTTCAAGAATTTGTTAGATGTTATCGTAAACTGAGTAACTGCAAACTCAGAAATGTGGATCGCTGCTCCCAGACAGTTATGTCCGATTTTTAACGTCATGTGACATGTAAAAAGGGATAGGAATTTACTAATTGTAACTTCTGCAGCCCTCTAACTAAAGTATATACCCCGAAAATTAACAAGATCCATTTCGGCCCTAAAGTGCCAATTCAGCCATGGAGACCAAAGCTTGATTCAGCCTCTCTTGGAGCCATTTGAGCACAATTTAAGCCAAAACAGCCCCATCAAAATTCTATTCCAGCCCACGCTGGGTATCATTTCAGCCCTTGGGTACAAATCAGCCCTATTAATTGGACTGCATTGGCCCTGGGTAAGGGAGCCACATTAGACAAAAATAGGACGGTATTTTACTCATCGAAATGACCCCTTTTTACACAAGGGCCAAAACATATCTTTGTGATTTACAGTGTAAATTTAAATTAAATTTTAATTGAAAATTCATTTTATCGTATTACTACTTTTAGTGTGAATTAATAATGATTTGGAGAAACATAAACATGTAAAAAGTAACGGCGACGTCATCAGGCCATTGTCAAATAATGGAAATAAATACATGCGAATGGTTCAATCGGTCAGGCTTTTTTTTCTCCAACTCAATTAATTTTTCATTTATGCAAATCTAGAGTACTTTAACTCCTTTTGAACTTGCAGTTATTTCCATTCCTCATGATGTCGCCGAAAGGTCGAAACATTATTTCGTTATTAGTTTTTACATGTTTACGCTGTTTTATCATGCGTCCAAAAAAAAAAGAAACTAAGAATTTTTTTTTTTCTGTTTGGACACTCGATTTAAAATCTTCCTTAAATCAGTGGAGCCTACACTGGTGTCAAGTAATCAGAACTTTCAAACAGGTCCACCAAAAAATCACCAACTTACAGCAATGTTCAACAACGATAAAACAAATTTTATTGAAAATTAAGTTCTTACTACTTACATCACTTTCCCACCCTCACATAGCTTATGAACTAATCGAGGTGGGGGGGAGGGGCGGGGGGAGCTAAGGACATATTTACAAATACAAGGTTTATCTATAGGTGGACTGATTCGTTTGAGATGGTTGACGTTTCCACTCTATCCTCCTTTCCAGTTAATGTTGCAACAAATTGGGAACCATTTGTTATCAAACTTTTCCACGTTTTATTATTGGGCTGGCTGTGCTGGCACCCAATCTAAACTGAGTACAAAATGACGGGCGGATCACCTTTCCCGTCCCCTCTACCATGGAGCAACTTTTTTAGTTTTTGAGGGGCGGATGGGTCATTAATAGAGAGATTAAGATTCACGTTTACCGCAAATGGCTAACGTCAGATCCAAGTTGAGAATTTCTCAGAATAGAAAATAAGAAGATAAAAACAGTCCCAAACGATTGCTGTGGTTAAAACTGACATAAAACTACTTATTTTTGTGTAGAAGCAGTAAAGAGTAAACGGAAAATAAGGGGGAAACTGGGTCACGTGGTAGAAATTCACGTCTGCCGTTTGGCGTAAACGTGAATCTTAATCTCTCTAATAACAAAAATCTTGCAGACAGACTTAAGATGAAAATGCGCAAATTGTTTTATAAACAAGATAAATGTCACTAATGTTCTATGTCATTACTTTGTCAATAAGGTGAGCCGTGGTATAAATAGACATGATGTATGAACTCAATTAGCGACATTTTTTTGTTTTGTTTTGTTTTTTCTATATTTTTTTGTCACTCTGCTCTGCTGTAAGGATCAGTGTGGTGCTTTAATATTACAAGAATCTAACTCTTGACCTCTCTAAAGACGTCACGGTGTCACATTTTTGTCATGTACAAAAATGCTGACAAATTTTTCCGGGCTGCATTGGGTTTTCGCCTTCGCTATGCATGAGGTTTCTATATCTGAAAAAAAAATATGCCTTTTGCCTGTAAAAATTCGCTCTGTTCTTCAAGAGCATTCAACAATTGCTCAAGGTGTCATCGAACGTTCTTCGACAAAGTAAGTCTGATGCAGTGTTCACAACAAAAACGGGATACATGCGGGCGCTGCGAAAGATCATCTACCGAATTCAAACCTAACTGGTACTTTAATTCCGCCCAAAATAATCCGAAAGATCTTCATCACGCTGCTTGTACAGGCAATTTTCAACTCGTGGCTGAATTTATGCGAACTGAGTTTTCAGACCAACCAGGGAAATCTCACCTTTCCCGTTCAAAATTACAATACGGGTACACGCCGATCCACTGCGCGACTTTCGGCGGACACTACGATTGTCTTAAGCTTATGCTCAGCCATCCAGATGGAAAACCAAATATTATTGATCCCGAAGACGGAAGAACACCGGTTCACCTAGCTTGCTGGAAGGGACACGCAGATTGTCTCAAGCTGCTTCTCAGTAAAGGAGGTAACTTATATCTTCGTGACCACAATAGGGATACACCGATATCATTAGCACGGGATTACGCCTGTTTGTCGATAATTCTTCTCCATCTTGCTGGTAAGTGAATTTGAGACACGGTGTTGTGTTATTGAAAGTTGTGGCTATATTGATTGAACATGTGTTAGTTTAATAATGTTAGCTAGCGATGTGTGCAGCGCAGTGAGCAAGAGATAAAGCTTTCTCTTTATCCATTAAACTATGATCACCCTATGCAAGGTATTGCCCGGGGGGGGGAAGTATTTTCCCTATGATGGCCTATACGGGTATCTTTTTCAGGCTTCAAGTATATATGAAAGGGTAGGGAGTTAACTAGTTAAAGCAAAAATTTGTCTTTGGAATCCGGTGGCGTTGGAATCCTAAATTCAGCTCTAGGAATCCAGAATCCCGCTTACAATTAGAATAATGATGCAACAAAAAATGCACGTTATGGTTCAATGATTATGCTAGGAAATCTTAAAAAGCTCTGTTTACATTGCAAGCCAGTCTCAAAGCAAGCTACATGACACAAATGACACCTTGCATTATCGAAAAAATTATAATCATTTGCATTTAAATGACAAAAATATACCATGCAGTTAGTGAGCTGTGCCATCATTAAATTCCTGCTCTACAGTACGGACTGCACGCTCTACGGACAATAAATCCGAAATCCACAGAGTGCAATTCAGAATCCAAGGCTGTCTTGGATTACCTTACATAGGGCGAGAAGGAAGTTTTTTCAAACAGCTAAAGTAAACCATAATTCCCACCATTTCCGTTTCAGAGGAAGCCGAGTCAAACTTCCGTTAGTGCAAAGATGCTAAAAATTCACTTATAATGTTTTTAAATGATTACTGAAAGATCCGTAAGTTACTCAGTGGGGTGATGTTGATTCAACCAATCGAATTTGGGTATTAAGGCTGTGATTGACATGTTCTAAAGACTGATCAATCAGACCTGGCAGACGTTTCTTTCCCTCCCTCCTCGCGCGCCCCTCGCGTTTCACTCGTGCCTAAATTCCCTTTTCCTTCCCTTTCAAACGCCTGCCACGCAGGCTAACTTTTACTAAGTTTGTCTACCATGAATTTCAAAAACTCCCGATGTTATGTTCTAGAGATTAGTACATGTGTTTTGCAAAAATTTTCTTTAAACACTTTAATCAAGATGTTTAAAAATTCATACTTTCCCCACCTCTGCGTAGAATTTCTTCAAAAAATTGGCCAGTTTCTCGGCATTCTCAGGATGATTTAAATGAATTTTGCTGTCTTTTTCCTCTCTGTTACACTTCAATCTTGTGCAATAATTTTTCTTATTTTATTTTTAAAAATAACAATAAATACGCACCATTTTATTACTTCCTTAATTTGCTAATGCGCGTTTTAAAAACTCCTAATTAATTCATTCATTCATTTCCAGGTATTGTACATGTTGTATTTTTAATATTATTGTTTCACCTATCTGAAACTCAAGTGTTTAATTTAACAGATTATCTGGCTACAAGTGAGGAGGCATCACAGAAACCTGTTCTCAAGGCCATGGAACTCGTGTGGATCAGACTCCGCAGTGAGTATGGTGTAATTCCAGATCTAGAATCATGTGATTTTGAAGAGATCGATAAAGCACCTCTTGTCTGTTACGCTGAGATTCCAGGTAATTAATTATCTCTTCCTGTAAATGAGATATTAACCAAAATAATTAACAACTATTCCTCGAGCCCGAATGGGCTCTGAGCAAGAGAGGATAAAGGGGACAGAGAAGGCATCCCCCATACACACCCTATTCCATAGGTAATTCGTCTCGAGTTATTTTTAACACCACAGATCTCAAGGGGTATTAGACAACAGCCAATCACATAGCCCGAATGTGTTCCGCGTGGATGACCCACGTTTCATATGTAGAAAAAAACGCTTAGGCTTACAACCGGGGGGGGGCTGCTTACAACGTAACCAAATCTTTCATCAAGGAAATTTTTTTGCCGGGGGGAAGCTATTTGGAGAATTGTGCGTACCTCTGAAAAAACCCTTGCTAGGCCCCTGGCTTTTTTTCTTCCACTCCTCAAACGAAATAGATAACACCCATCGAGCAAATGTTTTGAGTATTCTTGCATTTCTTTCTCGCAGTTTTGGTCAGAAATCAGCCTTAGTTTTGCCTTCGGATAGCGGTGATTGCCCTTTTTTTAGTTCACTCTGGGTGGTCTTGCCTGGAAAAGAGGTTGATCAAGAGGTTCAACCTCGTTTTCACGCAAATGTTACCTCGTTTCTAAGCCGTCAATATACCATCGATTCGATGGTATTTTGCTCGGATCTTCCAAATTTGGTCAACGCTGGTTGGTTATGAAGAATTAGCCGGAGGCTTTAAGCCACTCAGAAACGACGAACTATTTTGAATGAATAATAATTTAATAGCAAATATTAGAAGTATGTACAGTTATTGGAAAAGGTAGCATTGTGCAATGCATTGATGCATAGACATTGAATTATATTTTGCAATCGGAACTGGCCATGTTTGTCTAAATTTAGCTTGCCTATAAAGAAATCGAAAGAAAGGATAGGGTGGTCATAATTCAGACTATTCTTCACAAACTGTCCTTTAATTTATTCTTCTGGTTCGTATGGCAAATATATACCGCTATATACCTTTAGACAGTAACACAGCGCTTAGTATATCAGGATATTTATTAGTCGAGTATTCATTACCTAAACAATGCGAGGCACTCCGTGTTTTTTGTTTTGTTTTCTTTTTTTACAACCGGTGTTACTTGTTTCTGCACAGAGCCCGAAGAAGCTAGAAATTTGCAGTCAAAGGGAAAAATTCCGGAGGAACACTCTTTAGAATGTTTGCCAAAAGTCGAGGAATCACTAGACTCTTGGCTTCATTTTGAAGAAGTAGTTCTCAAGTGCAGGGAGAGTAAGGATTTCCCACCTTGTGTTCAAAAGGACAAAGTGAAACAGATGATAGACGTGGATGAAACGTTTGAAGGAATGCTAGACTTTTATCACAATAGAGGCTTGATCATCCTCCCAGGTAACTCGTTGTATTTCCATTCTGTGAAGCATTGTTTTGGTAACTTGTGTTTTGTATTGTGAGTTATACAAAGTAGATCAAAGTATTGAACATTAAGTTAAAGGTTCTAGGCTTTCATCACAGTCAAACCTACCCACGGCAATTAGCCCAGAACTATAAGCTGAGCCCTAATGATCAGTTTTTTGTACTTAAGACAACCAGAGGAATTAACGCCAGTAACTGATTAAACAGGGGCGGATCTAGGGGGAGGGTGCAGGGGGTGCGCACCCCCCCTCCCTGAGATGACCTGCGGTTTTCTAATACAACTAGTATTCTGCAAGAATAAACTATGTGGTTTATTGGTGTTGAAGTAGAGCAAGAAACGAGTGCACCCCCTCCTAAAAAAAATCCTGGATCCGCCCCTGTTAAATCAGTCCTTACTCCCCCCCCTCCCCCCCTTCCCGGGGGGAGGGGTGGTGGGCTATCAAGGGAAGTTTGGGTATCTAGGGGGGCTTTCCATCTAGGCAAAATCTCTGGTTGAAAATTCCAGGAACATTCCGGATCAAATGGAAAGATTTTCCAGCCATAGAGCCTCGTTTGCAATCTCATTGCTTGCGAGAACCAAAAACGCAACAAATTTATTTCATATATCATTAACACTCATTTCTTTCACGGGAACATATGAACCCACAACTGAGCTGCTCCCAACGTCAGTGCCTTCATAGCTCAGTTGGTAAAGCATCGGAACGGTATCGCGAGGTCACGGGTTCAAACCCCACTGAAGTCCTGAATTTTCCGGTCCAACCGCGCGTTCCATTTGCGGTTACACCGGTCGAAACGGAAATTTTGCCTTCCTTATTACTACTTAATCTCGCCATTTTGGCGAGAGAGTATTTCGCGGGGTTTTATTTTTGCGATTTTAATACGCAAATATGAAAAGAGGGCATTTAATTTCGCGATTTTAGCGTTACCGCCGAAGTCTCTAAGACAATAGTTGCTAATTTCGCTACCCTGTTTAAGACAAGAAACTTTATTGTATGACCCTGACTCGTTTCTTTTTGTATACAGACTTTTCATACTAATATCATGAAACTAAACTTTTTTGGAAAAAATCGTTAGTGTCACAAATGCAGACCTGCAGCCTTCACAGTTTTTTAATAGCTTCCGGTCCAAAGACACACCCTGTAAAAAAGCCAAATAGTGAAATTGTATACCTTGTTTAAGACTCGAGTCCCTGAAAACCATACCCTGTTCAGCGGCACATATCAGTCTACGCCAAATAAGGGAGTGACCCCGGACTCCTTCCCTGAATTGGCCTGTAACCCAGAGCTAGTCACCGAGATTTAAGAATAATGTCATTATCAGGATCATCATTTTTTTTTTTTTCAATGATCTACCTCCAGGAAAGCTAATCACAGCAGAGAACCAGAGCTCCGAGATTAACGACTTGGTAGTAGTCAAACCCCAGTACCTCGTGGATTTGATAACCAGCCTAAATAAAGAGCCAAATCTCTTGGTGTTTGCTCAGCGATATCAGCTTCTGTCAAAGAAGCTGCAAGATAAATGTATAACCGACATCGAACGGGAACGAATCTGCAGAGACCTCGCCAGCCCTGTCTCAGAAATTGTTCGCAGTTTAGAAGAGTTTGATTTGCTGTGTCCCATTTCAAAATTACCACAAGTTACTGAACCCAATGGTGAAGGTCACGACATTGAGACAGGGATAGGAAAAGGGGAATGTTTGAAAAAAAAATGGAAAAAACTTTGTGAAGAAAACTGGCGTGGCATTTGCGACTCAGATAAAGTTCTTGTGTTTGATTTCTACAGGCCTCTTCCTCCTTCCCTTTTTCAGTATTTCATCGATCGCATAGCTGTGGAAAGTAAACGAAGTTATGGCATGAGGCCCATCAAAGCCAAAGAGATGGCCATCTTCTCTTTTGGTGACAGCTTCTTCTTCCTTGCGGAGACATGCCCAAAGTTCAACCAGATTAACATTAGTGTAAGGTAAGTCAACTTACCTTACGAAGCTGCAACGTTAATTACACTTTATTTTGGCCTGCGTAGCCGGCCGGGGATTGTTGTGTCTGGGTTACTTTCTTGGCGACGGAGATGACACGCGAAAAACTGATTTGACTAGCTCCCAATCTTCACGCGGTTCCGGCGCCAAAAGCTACAGCACTTGCTCGTTTCTCCCGCCAACTACCCAGGGCCCGGTTGCATAAAACCTGCACTTAAGTGCTCACTTAAGTAGGTCACTTACGAATCCGCTATGGGTACACTTACGGGTGTTGCATGGAACACACTTAGCACTCTCGTAAGTTTCTGTTTTACGTGGTAACTTACGGGCTCACTTAAGGGCACACGTAACCTTGATATAGTACTTTATTAACGATTCACTCTTTTTTTTTAAGCTAACCATCGATGAGTGTAAAGAAAGTAAAATTCGTTTCCAACACTTTTAAGCCTCTCAAAAAATGAAATTTGCATGCAAACGTTATTTTTCTTCAATATCTACTGAAAATGATAGTTCTTCTTTTTTTTTCACAAAAGTGTACATCAGAGGTTAACAAAGCGCATTAGAACGAATTACGTGAAGAAAAATACTTTTTTTCACTTCTCAGTAAAAGACCTCGTTAAATTTAGTAAAAACAGTGACGATACGGGACCTATATAGGTAAACTTACGTGCTATTTTTCCCGTAAAAAAAGTTTTATGCAACACCCGCAATTTCTGTTGCATAAACGACACTTAAGTGAACACTTACGAAAATCGTAAGTGCAACCACTTAAGTGAATTCCCTAAGTGGACCACTTAAGTGATTTCATGCAACTGACTTAAGTTACGAGTGCACGTACGTGTACCCGTAGTTGTTACGGACGTTTTATGCAACCGGCCCCTGGCCCCTGGGTAAGTTTATTTCTTTCTTTGTTATACGCCTTTGGTTAAACAAAAATCGTTGTTGCCTTGCTATCGCTGACGTTGACCCTTTGTTAATAGGATTAAATGGAAAGAAAAGAATTAACGACGGTTTGTTTTTCAATTGTTAGGTACAAGAATGGAAAGAAGTTACATGAATTGTTCACCACTCTGATGACAATAATGTCAGAAATTTGTCAACACCAGTTTAGTTCCCTTAAGTTTGGTTTTGGACCGATCTGCCCCATCAAACAATGCCCAGGTTTGTCCTACCATAGAAAGGATCTCCAGTCAAACTCATCTTCTGAAGTAAGCGATGGTGAATTGGATGGCAACTCCACGTGCGATGACTGGGCAGATGACAGCCTTGTCCTTGGAGGTCGCGAGATCCGTCCGCACGTTATCTGCATTGACCCTGCGGAGTCGTCCCGGCCTCTATGGTGCAACAGTACTCCAATTCATGAATTCGAAGCAATCAAGGAATGGCTTATAACGGTACTAATAGCCTAATGAATACTCAGTCAAATGTGCACGAGAAAGGGTTGTATGCGGGGGGGACGGGCACTTCTTTATTTGGTGAACAGAGTAAGGTTTTCGGGATCTTTAGTCATAAACGGGGTATACAATCTCACTAGTTAGCGTCTTGAGTCTTAAACGAGGTGATCTGGTTTGACGTGTGACGTATGACGTATGACGTATGACGTGTCATGTGTGAAAGGCAAAAATTATTTATCTATTAATAATTACGTATAGCTTGCGCGCAGGCAATGTTAAGTACAGTGAAACTACTTGATATCGTTTGGTAATTTCTTTTTTTAAAAAAGAAGAGATTAACACGATGGAATGCCAGTAGTATGTTCACGGTTTCGTGAACTTAAGACCTGGGATCTCAGCCATTGTGTGTTGAGATTCGGCGTCTACCTTGGTCTACCGGCGGCTCAGGCTTAGTCAAGAGCGTGCTGCGGTGGATGTAAACTTAAATATTGCTTCATTTTGTTTCTACCTGGCTTATCGTGCTCATCGTATCTTTAACTTTGTTTGATTCTTACCGTCTCAGCCCCAGGATTCTGAAGGTTCTCCTTGTTACTCCAGTAAGTATATTTTCCTATTTAAACAATTCGTCTTTATCGTGCATGCTTGTATTGTAAATTACCGCAGCAGGGTTAGCGGAGTTAGGCAAGTTGGCTCGGCTTTGCCTAGTCCTTAGGCCTCATCATTCCGTACAGCCAATGTTTGTCGGGTCACGTGATTCGAGCTAAAGAGTAAGGCTTTTCCCGCCTGTTCGCCTCGAATACGTCACCGAGGTGAACTGATCGAGAGGGACTGGAAAAAGGACGTACAAAGACAAGGCAAGGTTCACCGCTGGTTTGCAGAGCATAGATCGCGTTTTTGTTCCAAGGTTTTCCTGGACCGGACCAATGCTCCTTCATAACTCAGAGGAGTGAACGTGCTTTGTCGTTCAAACGGTTCGCCCCTCGCGTGGCTCGAATGACCTTGTAGAAAACTAAAGGCGGTCCCGTTTCTAATAGGAGATGTAAAGACAATTTTGAGTTTAAAATTTTACCAATTGTGAAACTAACTTCATACGATGTCTTAAAAGAAATAGTAGAGCAGTTTTATCCCTTAATTTTGTTTGGGAGGAACAACACTTTTTTCATTTTTAGGAAGTAATTATTTATAGTTTGCTAGAATGTAAGGCAAGGAGTTTTAAGATAATTGAAGTGACAATATGAGGATAATACTCTTCTGAGCATGAAATTGTGGAAAACGTTCTAAACTTTTAAATTAATAACAAATATTTTTTATTTGATTTGAACAGTTAGCCGATGCTGTCAGATTTTCCTTGCCAAGACAGCTAAAGATTGGAAGTTCCTAGGCAGGTATCTTGGCGTCAACGATAAAATCATTGACAACATTTGCACAGAGAACGATTCGGAGGACGAGCGGGCCTATCAAGTCCTGAGAAGCTGGCTTCACTTAAAGCCGGGACACGAAGCTACTGTTCAGATGCTGATGAAGGCTTTAGAGGAAAATGGTGATGTGAAGACCAAAGAAGCCTTTAAACGTCACTTGAGTGAGCATAATTAACTCGTGCAAAAGCGAAATTCGCTTGGCGGCCGATTATATAGTGAATGAGACTCTGGCAAGAGAAGGTCTTAACCCTGTTAGAACAAAACACTCTCTCCCTCCCAGCGGCGTCTTTGTGACGGAGGGAGGCTCGGGCGAGGGTAGAAAGAAAGCGCGTGGGGGACAATGGAAAGGGAAAGAGAGGAAGTGAGGCTCCCGCCTTTTTACTCTTCCCACCGTCCAACGCGCGCTTGCTTTTTTTTTTATTATTATTGCTGTTTTCATTGGAATACCCAGCGAGAGCCTCTGCAGATGAGAAAGAACAAAACATGTAGCTTTCAGTTTTCTTTTGAAATATCCTTTGTCTTGCTATAATTGTTTATGTTATTCTAATCCTTTAGGCGCCGAGTGCATGGGTCCCTCGAGGTGGCTAAAGGAGCCAAGATGTCAGTATGTACATAATTCCGAAAAATCAGTCGCTATCAAAATTCTGGTCTTATTACAACCTTAAGCATAACTCGATGCGGAAAGAACAGGGGAAAACGTAGCTAGGAGTTTAGGAGTTTAAGCGAACCGTGGCTCGTTTCATGTCATTCCAAACCAATAGTCTTCTTTTTTGGCTTATGGTATCCCCTATGCCCGTGGATAAAAGACCACATTTATCTCTATTTCAATTCTTTTTATAATGCCTGTTCTTCTTTAATTTTATGAAACGAATCTGGTATTTTCGAGTTTCATATGTGACAAGAAGACACGGCGTTTATATCCTACAGAAAGAAATTAGAAAAGGGTGATAATAAATTAAGAATTTTTTTAAAAGCAAGGATCTTACACTTTTGATTTTAGACTGCTCTGCGCCTGAAAGTTAATTCTCGGGAAGAAAACGAAATAGTGGGGTTGTTCTAAATTAATAATCAATTGAATTAAGTTAAGAATCAGCTTAAACATTTTGGGATTTAGAAAATCAGATCAACAATCAAATCAACTTACAACCCCATACAGAGACCTTTAAGATCTCTAAGTTAAAATATGTCGTAAATTTAAGTAAAATCAGATTTGTTTCTTCTATTAAGTTATTTGTCATCTAACAATTATTTACAGTTGTAGTTACTCGTTTTAAATTTTTTAACTTTCAATCAGCTCCACGCAAAAAAAAAAAAGTGGGGAAGGCTCCTGCAACTTGAGGAAACATTTTCGTATGTCTTTTATTTATTTGAAGTGAGTGACACTTTTACTCCGAAACCCCCTTTCCAGTAAAATCTTGTAACGAGTTGGAAAGAGTCACCCGTCAAGCTTGTTGGGAAAATTTGCGCTCGGTTCCAAGCCTCCTCTGCTCAATCAGACAGCTTAGGGAAGAGGCAGTTCAAAACTGTTCTCATTCGCGTAAAAGCCACCGCACGACGACTAAATCATTTAGATAATCGCCTGCTCCCTTTTAAGACACTCGTTAGCCATAAAAATCCTCAGGGAAATTCTCTAGCCCTTTTGCAGGTTACAAGTCTACTTAACAACGATGCACACAAGTTTCCCCACCCTCCACCCCTTCAGGGGCACTGGCAATGTCTCCATGTGCTCACCCTATGCCTCATTCAAAATCTTTTAATTTTCACCCATAAGGTGAAAGACATAACGCATTGGGTGGCCTCTATGCGAATGTGAATTAGTTCCTATTTTCTGTCAACCTTTTCCACATCATTCTAAACTAATTTAAGTATTTAATGATTAATTAGTACATTTTGGTCTCATAATTAGGGAGTTACTATAAAACGAAGACGGGGACGACAACGAGAACGGGCAAGAAAGCAATAGACTGAGATTAGCAACAACTTTACACGTGCGTCACGCTTTTTTTGTTCATTTCTTTGTTCTAGTTGCCCGACTACGACATGAAACTTCCTCTCTCGTTTTATTAAGACAGCAATTTTATTTTTATTTTTCTAAATTTAGATACAGTCCTATAGGATTCAATTCTAGAAAATTTCGCCAACATTTGACAAGTTGAACGAGATGGCTCTCTATGTTACCGCGTCACAATCTTTTCTGGGTGACGTGAGTGTACTAGTCTATTAAGCAACATTATGTGGAGAAAAGTTGTTCTGAGAAAGACGGTTTCCCTCCTAGCTGCTGAGTCAACTTCTATTCAGCGAGCGTTAAGATGAGAATAAAGTTGACCCCTTTGCCCTTTCCTTTGCCCAAGCCAACAGCGCTTGCGCATGCTCTGGCTGTCTCCCCTTGACTGCATGAGTTGACCCACATATGTGATCCACAGTGTTTATGTGTAGAAATTTTGGCTTGGCAAAAGGGTGACCCTACCATCGAAGAAGGTGCCCGTCTTATAGATTTTTGTGAAACTTCGCACAGAAGAAGACATTTATCCATGAATTTGTAGCGCAAGGCATTTCAGAAGAAAATGCCGAACAGGGCTGAAATTCGATTTAGAGCTGAAACCATTGTGATGTGATTGCCACGTGACATTACTTCCCATCGCCCAAAAAATAATACCATAATAAAGTTAAGTCTAAGTGTAATCCATGTGTCATAATCGTTTTACAATACGGATCGATTTGCTTAAGTATAAGAGATTCAAAGATGGAGGGTGTGCCTATAAAAATACTGGGTCGAGCCTCCTTAATGTCAAGTTAAGGTGGCCCGAACCTATTTATATGCGCGTTGGTTATGTTTTTAAATCGCGTTTTTCGGCAGGAATGATTTAACCGATTTCTATGATTTTTGGCATCCTTAATAAAGAATGGTCGAACCTTAAGAAAATGCTATTTATTTTCTTGTAGGTATTAAAACGATTGAGATATTGGCATACGTTTAAAACCGCATTTTTACAAAAAATGTCAATAATTCACGGAAACCGTAAGACAGATTTTTCTCTAACTTCGGCAAATAACCCTCAGAGCTCTCTAGTTTTATATCTGTAAGTTTGAAGTCAATCGTGACCGTAGAACTCGCTGCACAAATAGCTGGTCAAATTTAACCATAAAATGCAATGCTAACACATTTGTGAAAGTTGACGCACGGAAAGAGGAACACTGCCGGCGGACTATCTCCTATATTGCCTAGAGTTTCAGTGCAAGAAACTGAGTAATCAGAAACATACGGCGAATACAGTTCGCAATACAAGAAGAATAACTTTGTGCTGAATGCGGGGCAAGATATAAGAATTTCTATTTATCAAACTTACTTCCTGTTTGTCCCTCTCTTTTCGAAACCTATCTTAACAATTCAAATTATATTATCTACGAAAAACTCTCAAGAGTTTTTCGCGTCGTGGTTTCCGTTTTGAGGGGAAATAAAGCCATTAACTCCAGTACTTCTAACCATCCATTTTTCAGCTGCATTGAAAGCCCTTGTACTTGGTAATTTATTCAAGGTTTTTAGACTTGACATCAGTCACATCACATTCGCACGGGAAGTTTGCCACTTGGGGACAAAGACGAAGAAAATATGACAATCGTCTTATTTTTTCATTATCCCCAATGGCAAAATGCCCGTGCGAATTTGATGGCAAATCTTTCAAACCTGAATAAATTACCTAATACAAGGGTTTTCGTTGCAGTTGAAAATGGTGGGTTGAAGTACTGGAGTTGGTGGCTTTATTTCTCCTCAAGACGGGAACCTTCAGTGCTAAAAACTGGTAGGAGATTTCCGTAGATGTTATATCGTGTAGCTTTGATAAATATAAGTTATTTAATCTTGCCCCGCAATCAGCATGAAGTTGTTCTTCTTTTATTGTGAACTGTATTCGCCGTATGTTTCTGATTACTCAGTTTCTTGCAACTGAAGCTTTGGGTAAGAATACCCTTGCAGATAGGAGATAGTCCGTCGGCAGTTGTCCTCTATTTGTGTGTCAACTTTCACAAAATAATGTGTTAGCATTGCATTTTAAGGTTAAATTTGACCAGCTATTTGTGCAGCGAGTTCTACGGTCACGATTGACTTCAAACTTGCAGATATAAAACTAGAGAGCTCTGAGGCTTATTTGCCGAAATTAGAGAAAAATCTGTCTTATAGTTAGGGTTTTGAAATTATTGACATTTTTTGTAAAAATGCAGTTTTAAACATATGCCAATATCTCAAACGCTTTTATACCTATAAGAAAATAAATAACATTTTCTTAAAGATCGACCATTCTTTATTAAGGTGCCAAAAATCATAGAAATCAGTTAAATCTTTCCTGCCGAAAAACGCGATTCAAAAACATAACCAACGCGCATGTAAATATGTTGGGGCCACCTTAAATAAGGATAAACTAACGATGACTAGATAATATAATGAACCTGAACGAGGATTCTGACATCGAAGTTGACAATTTAATGATCGACATGGATCTCTAGACGGCCTAGATGAATCAATTGATTGACTGGATATTCCACCATTTATAAACTCTCTTGATATTTTCGCAGAAAGCATGTTAGTTTTTTAGAGATTTGTTACAGAAATGAAAATAATCGCCTGTCTCTCTTTGAAACGCCCTATCTTGGACCTCTAAAATTAAGTAAACGCCCCGGGCATGATTAGATCATTTACGGTAGTCCACTTTTTGAACAACTGGCGCCTGATGTCTACATAATCTTGAACGATGCCGCTAAGTTTGACACTAGACTTCTAATATTTAACAGCTGGGAAATATCCGCGGAAAATTTACTTTGCTTGTAATGACACTGATGACGGAGGAGATTGATAGGATAAGCAGAGTGACAGATATGGAAATTCGCTGTAAAGGAAAGAAAATAAGTTGTCAAACATGCCATCAGAGTAAACGTGCATTAGTGAGCAAGATATATTTGTATAAAATGAAAAGTCATGGCCTCAGAGAAAACATCTTTCTGTTGAGCGAAACATTTCTAGGTGAGTTTCAACGTCTTTCTTAGGGCCTGTTTACATGGAGGTGGGGGACCCCAGGTAGGTTTGGTAACCCGCTTTGGTGGGGTAACCCCCCCTGTCCATATAATCTCTTATTTTAGTGTGATCGGGTTTACCAAGAGCCCATAACGTGGAGAGAACAACTT